GAGAGCTGGTAGTCCAGCCGGATCCAGGACCACCCCAGGCCCCTGACGGACCCACAGCCGGGAAAGCCCCGAATGAGTCTGTGCCGTCCTCCCTGCAGCCTCTGCTCTTTCCGTCAATACTCACAGCCACATCCTCAGGGACCTTCAGTTGCGAGTCACCCCCGTCCTCTCTGCCCTGCACTTGCTGTGTCCTCAGAAGCCACCACACTCCTCTCCCCCCTCCACCTTCGTCACGGTCCTCCGCGCGGGACTGAGCTGCAGGACGGGACAGGTGCCCTCCCCAGGCTGTGCTGTTCGGTATAGGGAGATGGTGAGGACCCGGGCGACAGGAACTCACCGCAGCCCCGCGCCTCCACACGGGCGCCGCCATTGCCCTCTGTGGGCACAGCAGGGCGGGAGCGGCGGGGGCGACTCGTGTGAGGTGGCGACTCTGACTTTCAATCCCATGTGCGAGCTGTGAACACCACTGGAGGCTCCCACAATGGGTTGTGAGGCGGAAAGGACCGCTCTCCAGCCTTCCCCAGGGGACTCTGAGTCCAGGAACTCCTGACCGTCTGAGACAAAACCGAGAGAAGAGAAAATCCCGCCTGGAGGACTACAGCTCCGCCCACAAACGGGAGAATGGAAACGCCTTCTCTGCGTCCCCATTGGCTCAGCCTGGTGGCATTCCATGCAAGGCCTTCTGGGTAATGTAGTTCCTAGGCTCTAAGGCCAGGATTCTGTATTTCCTCAGCTGACTCCAGGTCCGGTTTTGGGAGCAAATAACCCAAGAAAACACCAAGAATACTCAGGGCCCTCCAGCGCTTTCAGGGGAGGGGATTTCTAGGGAAAGTTTGTTTCTTGTGCACCTGCTGTGGCTGCCTTTGCATATCTTTCTATAGGACCTGCTCTTCCTGAATGACAGGCACTGTTTCTTCATTCAGGACACTAGGCAAGTGTCTCCCTTCAGGCCAAATGTAGCTAAGGGAGGTTGTTCAAGTTTCTAACGAATTCTCACCTGCCTCCATTGAATCCACTGTACAAAGTTAACTTAACAAAAAAGACATTCATACTTAAGAGCATCTGCTTCTGATGCCACCGGAAGTGTCAGCTCTGCCTGGGCTGCAGTGTGGATAAGATGCCCAAGAGACATGTGAAAAAATGCTCAAAGTCACTGATCATCAGAGAGATGCAAATTAAAGCAACAATTAGGTATCATCCCACCACTGTAAGAATGACAACCATGAACAAATGACAAGTGCTGGTGAGAATGTGGAAAAAAGGGAACCCTAGTACACTGCTGGTGGGAATGCAGGCTGGTGCAGACATAATGGAAAACATAGGGAGTTTCCTGAAAAAATTAAATATGGAACTGCCATTTGACCTTGTGATCCACTTCTAGAAATATATCCTAAGAAACCTGAAACAATCAGAAAGACTGTATGCACTGCTATGTTCACAGCAGCACTATTTACAATAGTTAAGATCTGGAAACAGCCCAGTGCCCATTAATAGATAAGGGGAGCCGAAACCGGTTTGGCTCGGTGGATAGAGCGTCGGCCTGCGGACTGGGAGGTTCCAGGTTTGATTCCGGTCAAGGGCATGTACCTGGGTTGCGGGCACATCCCCAGTAGGAGATGTGCAGGAGGCAGCTGATCGATGTTTCTCTCTCATCGATGTTTCCAACTCTCTATCTCTCTCCCTTCCTCTCTGTAAACAATCAATAAAATATATTTTAAAAAAAAAATAGATAAGGGGATAAAAAAGCTGTGGTACATTTATACCATGGAATACTATGCAGCAGTAAAAAAGAAGAATCTCTTACCATCTCAGACAGCATGGAGGGACCTGGAGAGCATCGTGCTAAGTGAAAAAAGTCAGTCAGAGAAAGACAAGTATCACTTCATCCCACTCATATATGGAATCTAATTAACAAAATTAACTGACAAATGGAGGGGATCCAGAGACATGAAAGCAAAAAATGTGCAACTTGTAGAGAATTTTTCTAAGTTTATCTGACCCAACACAGGGACAAATGTCAGGACACAAAATGACAATAAACTGAGTAATGCTCCAGATAATGACAGTTTTGCACCTTTTTTTCTTTTTTTGGTAAATCCTCACCCGAGGATATTTTCCCATTGATTTTTTTAAAAATATATTTTATTGATTTTTTTTACAGAGAGGAAGGGAGAGAGATAGAGAGCCAGAAACATCGATGATAGAGAAACATTGATCAGCTGCCTCCTGCACATCCCCTACTAGCGATGTGCCCGCAACCCAGGCACATGCCCCCAACTGGAATTGAACCTGGAACCCCTCAGTCCGCAGGCTGATGCTCTATCCACTGAGCCAAATCAGCTTCGGCTCCCATTGATTTTTTAGGGAAAGTGGAAGAGAGAGGGAAAGACCGAGAGAAACATGGATGTGAGAGAGACACATCAATTGGTTGCCTCCTGCATGTGCCCTGACCAAGGCCCAGCCAGGAAGGAGCCTGAAACTGAGGTACATGCCCTTGACCGTGCCCTTGTCAAGAACTGAACCCAGGGACCCTTTTGCCTTCAGTCCGACACTCTATCCGCCGAGCCAAACCAGCTAGGGCATGCACCTTTTTTATACATTAGACTCAAAGGAGAAGACATAAGGAGGTTACATGAAATCTGCTGGTGATAAATTAGGGAGTGGGGGACTGAAGAGGGAAATCTCTGGGATTGGATAAAAAGTAAAAAAAAAAAAAAGACACAACCTTATTTTTAAATGTTATCAAATAGTTAACCCTTAGTATTTAACACAGTAACAATAATAATTAGGGCTCTGTGGTCTTCTGCGTTGGGAGACTGTGCCCTGAGGAGTCTGTAAAAAAAGAAATTTCCTTGAAAATCCAAAGATACGTTATCCTAGATGCAAAACGACAATAGAGAGTAACCATCTGTTAAATGGACCCTGCAACACTGGCTCAGAGTTGGCTGATCCTGATGGGGATCCTGGAGGAAGCACAACGGGGAGAAAACAAGATGGCAGCAATGGTAAACACCGGAGTTGGCTGCTTCGCACAACCACTTCAAAAATACAACT